ATTTCTGAACCAATTCAACAACAAATCACATGAACACAAATTGAACAACATCAAATTAATGTGCATAAATTAACCATATTGGGAACCAATCCTGGTTAACTTAAAAATTGATGAGCAAGTATTAACAACACAATACATGATTCAAACTAATTCAACAAATCAAAAACCAAAACATAAACTCACATTAAATTACTGGATGAACTTCAAACAAAGAATAAACATGCATTAGATCCATATTAAATAACAAACATCACGGATTCAAATGATTTAAACTAAATCTAACAATATTAAAATTAAACTAACAATTTATTCTACAAAAATACAAAATAAAGCACATGAAATAAACTGAAAAACTAATTAATCAAAGTTCCATTTGAATCTGAAAATTAAATCAACAAAACATATGAACAAACTAGAAAATTATTTCAACGATGAACAAACAAAACAAGAATTGAATCATTTATCGATTTTGGATCTGAAAAATATCAAACAAAAATATGGACAAAATTGAAACTTAAACCAACTAACCGGTCTAGAACAATGACGAAGAACGAAGAAGATGAAGCAGCATAAACTTTGGTGAGGCAGTAGCAGCTGGTCGTTTGGTCGACGCAGAGGCAGCAGGAAGCAGAAGCGTGAAGGCGACGAGGGAACTGAAGCATGGCGAGGCATTGAGCGACGACGAGGGTGGAAGAAACAGCAGCAACCATGGTAGAAAGAAGAGAAGCAGCAACACTGCTTGGAGCAGCCATGGCTGCTCGTCGTAGCTGGACGCGGGCAGCAGCAGCGACGAGGAAGCAACAGCGACGAGGAAATGAAGCTGAGTGGTGAAGCAGTTGGGTCTGTTTGGAGAAGGTCAAGGTCAACGAGCTGTTCGTCGTCGACGACTGGACGTAGCAGCAACCATGGATGTCAAGCAAGCTTCGAGCTTGACGAAAGAGATGAAGCAATGGCAGCGGGGTCGCTTGGCGTGGCTATGGAAGTTCAACGACTTCCGGCGAGTTTTGGGTGTGTGTGTGTTTGTGTTGTGGTCGGATTTGTTGTTGTTTAACAATGGTGAAGGGAGTTCAAGATGAAGAATAAGAAGTGAGGTCGTTTGGACGTGAGAATGGAGGGTAAAGGGCAGCCATGGGAGGTGGGGTTTGGAGTTTTTTTTTGGAGAAGAAGATAGAGAGGGGGGGCGGGTAGGTAGTGTTTTTAGGGTTTTCTTGGTTTTTTTTGTTTTGTTTTGTTTTATGAAAAATGAAAGAAAAAGGGGGTTTGGGTCTCTTTGGGCTATGGACTGGGTCGACCCAGTTCGAGATGGACTGGGTCATTTGGGAAGATTGGGTATTTTTTGGGCCTGTGGCTTGAATTTGAAGAAGAGGTCCAATTCCGATTTTCTTTATTTTTTGCTCTCTTTTCTTCTTTTATTTTTCTAAAACTAAATTCTAAAAATCCATAAACTATCATATAGAACTAAATTAATTTATAAAAGCGCAAATTAACTCTCAATAACAATTAACACATAATTAAGTAATAATTAAGCATAAAATTGTACAATTGGACATTAAATGCTAAAAATGTGAAAGATGTCTATTTTTGTAATTTTCATTTTTGTAAAACAAACTTAATTACTAACAACTGTAGAATTAAATCCTACATGAAAAATGCGATATATTTTTGTATTTTTTATTAATTTAACAAATAAATATGCGCAGACAAATATACAAATAATTACACAAAAATACCACAAAAATTCAAAAATTACACACCAAGGAAAAAATCGTTTTATTTTGATTTTTTTGGGAGTAATTCTCATATAGGGCAAAAATCACATGCTTACAGTAGTTTTTGCTGAAACTAAACCCTAAGCAATGTAGAGAAGCCAAACCTAAGCAAAAGTTGCTTAAATAAAGATTTCTAAGGAAAGACTATCGTAGGTATCTGAAATCCTAGTTTTTAAAAAGGTATGTATAAATCAATGTGTAAGAGCGAGTGAGCTCAAGAAATGATACAAATCTTCTTTTTTAGCTTTGGGCTTTTTTGAATTTTCAACCTTCGTTTTTTTGTGTTAATTAAAATTTGTTAACCACCAAGCTTTAATTTTTCTTGTCTTTTTCCTTTGTTTTCTTGTTCATTTTTAATAATATTCCCTTCAATATAATATAGATGTAAGATACAAAATGTTTATTTAATTAATTCTTTCTTAAAAAAGAATACATATCATAACTGAATTATACACAAAATTTAATTAAAGATACTTATAGTAATGTATATTATTCACAAATAAGGTCAGATATAAAGTTTGCACTAAATAAAGAATTATTATTTCAACTTAAAATTAATGTGTAAGATACAAAACGAAATTTTAGTCAATTTCTTTCTCAAAAAAGGATATCTACCATAACTGAATTATACACAAAATTTAATTAAATATACTTGTAGTAATGTATATGATACTTATAATAATGTATATTGTTCACAAATAAGGTCAGATACAAAGTTTGTACTAAATAAAGAATTATTATTTCAACTTAAAATTAATGTGTAAGATACAAAACGAAATTTTAGTTGGTTCTTTCTCAAAAAAGAATACCTACCATAACTGAGTTATACACAAAATTTAATTAAAGATACCAATAGTTATAATATACTGGTTTGCTTAATGAAAATTGCATCTCTTTATTTGTACCTCCAAAAGATTCTATTTTGGTCATTAAAAAGAGAACATTTTTTGTTTAAATCAATAACTAATTGCCTTCGATTAGTTAAAGAATGAAATCCAACTTACAGAAAATATTCTTCGATGATTTGCCTGCAGGAGGATCATCGAAGGTTGGAGAAAGAGATAGAAAGCTGACTAGAGTAGGGGGTAGAGGGGTTGTGTATATCTATTCCAATCGGGGTGATAGCTCGACTCGGCAAATGGGAGAAAACCTTTCAAACCAAGCTCTTGGTGTCTGTTTTAGCTTGCTGGAGGCCGTAACATAAATTGCTTTCTTGAGCTTGCATACCAAGTTAGGATTCCTAGGAGAAGAGAAGCCTTGAGTTGGAGGAGGATGAATAGAAACTTAGGAAATGACTTAAAGATAGATGTCGCCGCTGCGAGCCGAGGGAGCAACTTGTTTGGTCTTGCGGTGCACTCATTCCCGTTACGAGAATGAAATGACGCCCCAGCTTGACTCGAGACCTAGACTCCTTACAACTCGTACCAATAGTGGCACTGAGCGGCCAACCTTCGAACCCTCGATTCGATTGTTTTGCAAGAATGTTGAGATGGGTATGTAAGCCATGTATTTGGGAGAGCCACCGACTCTAACTACCGTCCATGTACGATCCATACTAGATCTGACCAACTGTCCATCCTACTTTCTCAACGTTCTTGACAGTCCATCTTTGTCTCAGTAGAGTCTTTCAGTGACACGTTTAGGTCCTCTTCCCCATTACTTAGAAAAAGGTTGGACTACTACTTTCATTAATTATGTTTCCATTTATAATTCAAATTTTTAATGTTGTCTTAAAAGTGTCAAGTGATATTTTCTCAACATGCCACTTGGCTTAACCTCATAATTCACTACCCTCCTTTTAATATAATATAGAAGATATAGATTATATTCAAGCTAAATTATTTTTAAATTTAATAATGAGTCATATTTTTGCACGGGACCATAAAGAAAATAAGTTCACGTACAACAGGGATTAGTATTAAAATAATTTCCAAATAATAAAGCAACAAAATCGTGAAATTAGGGAGATCCTCAAGGATACGTCAGGAGGTTCACCGTTCATGGCAATCTCATCATAAGACGACTGTTCATTCATCTAATCAATCAGACCCCTTTTTCTGCTTCTCTCCCTATATATTCTCTCTTTGGTTGCTTCCTTTTAAATTTGATCTTCCTCCTCTAAATTCTGATATTTACTGGTCGGTAGGAAAGAAGATAATAATTAAAAAAAACGATATATATTGATTGTGAGGTACAGAAATTAAAAATCCCACCAAACGATGCTTAAATAATGGAGCCACATCACAATTCGGATTCTAATTCAAAGCTCTCATCTGCTACTGAAGGAGCTTATTCTAGGGTTTCAAAACCACTTCTTCAATCGGTAATTCTCTCTTCAAGTCTTCTCCTTTTTATATTCCCCCATATTAATTGATTGATTTTTTGATTGGCTGAATATGTTTTGCTGTTCTAATTCGTTGACTTTATCAGAAGTAACGAAATCTATTTGAGCAGCTTTTTAGTCAATTTTTCTGGTTTTTCGTTGGTGCCAAGTTTTGGGTTTTGCTTCAACTGCATTATGTTATTGTCTTTATTAGTAAAATTGTTGGTGTTTCGAAAATTTTATTCATGGTTAGTTGTTGAATTTGTTGTTGAGAATATCTGATGGAAATCCATCGGGGTATTTAGTGAAGTAATACCCATCTTAATGAGAAAAAAGGGGATTTTGTTATGCGATATCATTTGTATGGAGATTAGCCTATATAAAAAAAAAACAATACAGTAAAAAATAAAATAAGAGATAGAGAAAGATTTATCTGAGAAGTTATTGTTTTGAGGTTTTAATTTATTTGAAGGAAATAATTGAGGATTTAGGGGTGCGATCATCTGTGGAGAGTAAACTGGCAGCTAAAATGAGGTGTTAAGTAGTCATCATCTTAGTTACGTTGCTACTTTTTTTTGTGTGTGTGTGTGGGGGGGGGGGGATGCGGGGGTGATTGAAATTTTTTGAATCAGAAGTATAGATGATAACTGACACTCATAAGAAGTAAAAGTAGTTGTTGATGATGAATACTTTGCTGCTAGAACTTATCTATCTCTTATTATGGTAAAAGAACTGACTTCTAGCATTTCTTTAATCACGAAAGTAAGTTTAAGTTGTGATCCCGGCTCATATATTAAATCTTGTTTACTGTATGTAAGTAAGCATCATCAAAAGTTTCTCAAATTGAATAACTAGATTCTTGTGGTCAAAATTAGAATTTATGTTCAGAATTTCAGCCTATATCTGCTGCTTTGGGTGTGATAACTTCCTCGCTGTAAGGAAAGAACTTGTTTGCTTTATTTACTGAACTTTCCAGCACTTGGAACTATCTCAAAGTATGCAGTTGAGAAATTTTTCTTCAGCAAAAAGCCTGCTAATAGTCATGCATAAGGAGTGTTAGTTATATGATGATAGTTGCTACTCACTTGTCTCCTCCATTGGTATATTCCATTTCAAATTGTCCTGATCTATTTCTTTTGCTATGTGAAGCAAATAGCACAGATATTTGCTGCTTGTTGGTAGTTACTCTGTTTTCTCTTCTAAAGTTATCCTGTTATTTATTTATTCACGTAGGTAAAGAGTTGCAGTAATTTCTAAGTGCAAGTAAAAAATTTAAGTTTGACATGAGAATACACACTTATCATGTTTTTTGGTGATAGGACTGTAGTAAGTTTGGAGATAACAGAGGCCTGGATGATATGGATCCAGTCATTGGTTCAAATGTTGTGAAAATGGGTAAGCATGAAGAATATGACAGACTAGCTGTACACCTAAAGGATGAAATTCCTGAGAACACAAATTTGACAAGCCGTCTAGATAATCGAGCAGAAGAACTTGTTGCCAACTTCTCTGTCCAAACCACACGTGAAGCAACACAGGAACTTTTCAGTAAACGGTCATTTCAAGACACTCGAGAAGCTAGTGAAAGGTATCATATGGACTGCTCGAAAGGGGAATTTGAAGAAGATTCTCTAACCCTGAGACAGAACAATATCTGGAAGTTTTCTGAGAAGATTATTAGCAGCAATTGGAATAAAATAGGAAAATGTGGTACTGAAACATCTGGTCAAAATGCAGATCACATAAACAACAACAAGAGTTATATCACGGGCAAGCCAGTGGCTGGAAAGCAAGAGACTGATCATGATTCACCTTTGTGCACAGAAGAAAACTATGAGAAGGGGGCACACACTAGTAAGGATATGGTTAAAGCTAAAGTCTCTAATGTTGATTTAATTCAACAGACCAACGAAAGTGATGCAATAAGAAATTCTCTATACCCACAATTAACTGAAAATAGAGAATGTGAAACACAGTCATCTCAAATGGTAGAAGAAAGTACGTGCCACCAAAATCAAGGAAGATATTTCTGCTATGATTCACCACTGTTTGGTGAAACTGGAGCTTGGATTCCTGTATCAGTTCCTCCTATGTCAGAGAGTGAGCATGAAGAGTGGAATAGAGGGTTCTGCTCAAACGGGGGATACCTTCCTGATGGTGACACAGATTGGAATCAGTGCATGGGGGAAGACAAGGAGTTGACCATGTGGGATGTGGTGGTCGATATGTTGCTTGCAGCCCGAGGGAAAGTGCAATCTCTTGCATCTGGTGATATTGGTAACATGGCGTGGATATCAAGCCATCTCATTGAGCAGGCTTGGAAAGAGATGGCTCAAACCCTCACAGAAGCTAATTTTGGTAATGCCCAGGAAATTCTTGAGGCAGATCCTCCCAAATGGTTGCCTGACAGTGCATCTTCCTCTTGTATGTTATGTAGTGTGCGGTTCCACCCTATCATGTGCAGCAGGCATCATTGTCGATTTTGTGGTGGAATATTTTGCAATGAATGTACTAAAGGAAAGAGTTTGCTCCCTGAAAAATTTCGCACTGGGGAACCGCAACGAGTATGTGATGTATGTTGTGTGCGTCTTGAGTCCGTGCAGCCATACCTAATGGATCGAGTAAGCCGTGCTGCTCAGTTGCCAACCCATGACCTTACTGACCTGAGCACATTGCGATCTTGGGTAAACTTCCCGTGGGGACAGTCAATGGAACACGAAATTTACAAGGCCACTAATACTATTCGGGGCTATGAAAGGGTATGGAGTTCTGTTTCTTATATATTAAATGCTGCATCTTTTATATGTTTACTTATACTAAAATACTCCTGCTAAATATCTGATTATGAAGAAACCAATTGCTGTATTATTGTACTATTTAACCTTCTAGCCTCTAATCCACCATTTGGAGTTCTACTGGTATGCATCTTATATATAAAAAAAATTAAGGAGCAAGCATTGATATCTTTTTTATTTAGTTTCCTGATATCTTATGATGAATATTGGCTTCCTGAAATATTCCGAACAACAAATTTCAGATTGGTTTGTTGAGTTCTGAGAAGAAAATTCCAGAAGCTATTCTACAGAATGCAAGAGGTCTTGCCATACTTACAGTTGTGAAAGTTGGAGTGATGGTCACCTACAACATTGGAACCGGATTGATAATTGCCCGTAGAGAAGATGGTTCATGGTCTCCCCCCTCGGCCATTTCTTCCTTTGGTGTGGGATGGGGTGCTCAGGTGAATAAATTTACTATATTTCTGCTAAATGAAGTAAACTATAATTACCAACCATAAATTTACTATATTTCTACTGAATGAAGTAAAGGATAATTACTGACCATAAGTTTTCTATGTTTCTGCTAAATGAAGTAAAGGATAATTACGGACCTGAATAGCGTGGTCTGAATATAGAGGATTCATATAGCCGGCAACTAATTTCGGATTGAGGATAATTGCCACTTTGCTTGTCTATTTCGAGATGCATTCGTCATTTTAGGAAGAAATCATAGATATGAGCATTGCAGATGGCTGCCATGGACGGTGAGTGTATTAATTGCCACATGGGAAATTGTTACCCAGTGGCTTCTGGATCTTATCCATAATCAATAGGTAACTAAGAAAATTCAAATGTCATCTTGGGATGATTTGTATATACCCCCATTTGGGATGGCAAAGAGTCTTCCTTTCATGATAGTCTTGGTGCTTTGGCAGTTCATCACGGTACCTCGTATTAAGCCCTGGCCATTTCTGTTTAGCATTAAATGTCGGAGAAAGATGTCTGTTCTCTAGTTAGTAAAATTTTCTATTCTTCCTTTAACTTAGTTTCTTCAAGAAGGCAGTGTGTAAAATTTTATAAGGAGGTCAATCAAAATATCATTTTTATTTCAATAGGAACTTCTTATCATCAATAAATTGTAAAACAGATTTCTATTTTGTAGGCTGGTGGAGAACTCACTGACTTCATTATTGTTCTGAGAACTACTGATGCTGTCAAAACTTTTGGTGGTGATGCGCATCTTTCAGTTGGAGCTGGTGTGAGTGCTGCTGCTGGGATCATTGGACGAACTGCTGAAGCTGATCTTCGTGCTGGTACTGGAGGCTATGCTGCTTGTTATACATACAGCTGCAGTAAAGGTATCAAGTCCACCGTGTTTATGAGTTCACATGTGTTGTTCCATGTTATACTTTGATTTGTATGTTCTGTTATTGCATGATAGAGTTGGCATGTGATTATGCTTTTCTATATCACGCGATTGTTAATGGCCAGAAAAATTTAATCTCAGCTTTCCGCTCTCTTGCCTGTGGAGAAAAGTTTTGAATAGTCAAATTGCGGAAAATTTGCTCATCAGGAGAATAATTATGGGTTTTGAAGTCTACAATAATTCATAGAGTTATTGTTGATGTTGATTTAACTTGAAAACAGTTTAGGGAAGTTAGTGAACTTCAAACCAATTTTCTCACTGTCTTTACCATTTAGACTGTATCTGCTGTTTCTATCCCTGGAAGTTAAGTCGATGCTTGCTCTCGAGGCCTAGTTATATCTTTATTTCATGTTTCATGTTTGAAGTTCTACTTTTTTTGTGGTACAGGTGCCTTTGTTGGGTGTTCCCTACAAGGGAGTGTTGTGACTACCCGAACACGAGAAAACTCCAGATTTTATGGTAGCCAGTCACTAAAAGCTCCAGAAATTCTCCTTGGTTCGTTGCCGAGGCCCCCTGCTGCAGCCGCCCTATATCGTGCACTTGCTGATTTATACCAGAAACTTTGAAGGTCTCATTCGTCTTAAAGGGTTGTACATAATGTTACGGGTTGGAAATTTGGGGGCTTGATTATTGCTATTCTTTGTGAATTATGAGTGCATAGATATAGTTAATTGTACAGTATGGAAGAAGAATTGTAAATATAATCATTATCTTTGCTGGGAGAGTATCCTTGCTCACTGAATCTATTGGCAATTTGGCATTCAATTTGGGAAGGAAAAAAATGGATGAAAAGAGTTGTGTTGTGGCGTTTGTTCTGGTACTCGGAAAATTATCCAATAATCCCTGGTAACCCCAATTCTTGATTTGCAATGGTAGTTCTGCTGCCACATTTTCCACTGTAACATAAAGGCCAAGTTAAAGAAGATAGCTATCTCCTTGATAGGGGAGAGGTTCGTCTCTTTCTCGTGTTATGTTTTAGGTTGTTTGCTCGCTCCTGTGCGCTTTACACTTGGGTTATCTGTTATTCTGTTCTATAGTATTTTATTTCTGAATTTTCTTTAAAATACTATAACTTGGACAATAATAAATATTATCTTTTTAGATAATTAAATATTTGGTGATTTAGTATACTATATACACACGTTATTATGCTTAGATGGTTAAGTTGATATTTCTACATTTTTTATTTTGAACTTTATATGATTCTAATATTTTCTGTTTTTTTTTTACTTTATTATCTTCTTAATGTATTTTTTTATTTTTAAGCTATTAAAATTAAAAAATTTGTGACTTACGATCTGTGAGCATAAGCCCCATCTCATGACAAGTAAGTTGACCTGCCTCTCTGTTATTTGTAAAATCACTTCAATATGAATGATAGCAAGATGCAGCATATTAAAATACTACATTTTGTAGTTCCTCCTATATTCGTCTTAATTTTTTTTTGGAGTCAGACAAACAGAAACTCTATGTTATTTTAATTACTGATAGTTGATGTACTCTTGATAGCTTTTCTGGATAAACATATACCATAAGAAATGTAAGCATTTTCGATATCTCTATGGTTCACAAGCTTAGGGACAAATAACATTACATGCATTGAATAACTCCGTTTATTTTAAATGCTTCGTTCTGTTAAGAATTTGATGGCAGCCTCAGCTGTCAACTCCAACCAACATTGTTCAACCCTTGGAGATGTCATTAGGATTCCCCCTTTATTGCTTTAATTGGAGACTCAGATTTCCAAATATTAAAGGCTATGCACGAAGGCATTTACCTTGAATTTTCTCAAGGTCGCTATCGCAACTTAGACAAACCTGGTAGAGCCTACTCTACAACAAAATCACTCTGTTTATAAATGAAGACTGAGGAAAAAAACAAATAAACATAAGGTACAGAAACACAGTTTCTTGTTAGTCAACTCTAGCTACTTACTATATCGTGTGAACAATTACAACAGGGTAACTACAAACAAATTCAACACTGAAAGTGAAAAGAATCAGAAGAACAGGGGAGAATATTAGAGATAATACGATAACGTTCCCCCAATGGACAAAAGAAAAAAAGAAAAAAGAAAAAAAGACTTCACATGAGCTATCTCCTCTTGAAGAAAACAAGAGAAGGAAAATTAACTGCTGTTCCTACTCAGTATTTGTGACTTTCTGGTTTTCCCTGAACCAGAGTATCTTCCACATTCAGGAGGGATGACCAATACAAGAAGTTAAAAGCTTCCAAACTTTGCAATGATCATATAAGCATAGATTTTCACTTTCTACTCGCACTTGCTATCTGCAAAGCAAAGCAGCAAAAGAACACTAATCAGCTACTTTTAAGCAGAAGACTTACTTTTGAGAGAGAGAGAGAGAAAGAGAGGGATGGAGGGGGGGGGGCTAGAGTTGCTTAAGTGTGTTTGCTTCAAAGGTTCAAATAAGAAAGTTTACCTAGTGCTGGAGTTCCCAAGTGTAAGCTCAAGATCATCACTGACACACTCTTCGTGAATTCTTTCTCCTTCCCATGGCTTTACTACTCCCTTCACGTTGCTGCCAAATGCGAACTCTGCTGAGATAACATCCGACATTGGTATATCAGCTGTTTGGTCCATACCAGCTCCAACTGCAGGTGAACATGTCCCACTTTGCCCAGGTGTCCACATTCGAGACCCTCCATTTGATAGTGGCTCCTTAAATCCAAATGGATTTGATGAGACGAGGCTGAATGTGGGAGATGAAGGCCCATCCTGTGGAGTTTGAATGCCAGAAAGCCATCCTGAATCTGGTGGGGTTTGGCGACCACCAGGACTAGGAGGGGTTGAGAAGGGCAAGAAGGGATAATGATGTTGTATCCATGTTGAATTGGCCGTGGGATTTTCCCAATTATCATTCATCCTAGGAGTACGGGCAGTGGGAGAGCTCGAAGGTGGTGTCACAGGAGCACTTACAGAATCTCCAGGAATGCACAGATGGTGGGGAAAGTTAGATGAGGAAGGCGATGAGCCAGATGATAGGTTCTTAAGCCAAGGAATGAGCGAGTTGGGATCAGAATTATTTTGGACATTGGCAATATAATGGGATGAGACCGGGCTGGGGATAGATGATGAAGCAGGACTTGGGTTATACGAAGCACCAGGGCTCAGTTGGTAAGACGAACAAGGGCTTACTGATGCCGAACCACCAATAATATCCATGTGGTGTACTGGCTTGCAACCCTGCAGAAAAGAACAGATGATAAGCAGCAATAATGGGGCAAATCAAATAGTCAACAGTGAGCGCATCACCAGAATTAAGCTATTATAGCAGAAAGAGAGCTGACATTTGCAAATGCAGACTTGAAAGATTAGATGATTAAGGGCGTCCCGAGATATTTTTAAAGCGTAAAAGCGTCCCCTTCAACATGACTTCAATTGCTTAAGTTCCAGAAAGTGTAACTTAGTTATTACTTAGGCCAGATTCACCAATTAAGTGACTAATATATTATAGCTCATTCGCGCACATCTATCAGCAGCATGAAGATGCCCTAAATCAGAAGCTTCCGCTCTTTTAATGAACACATAAATTGCCATGGAATGAGGAGTACCTACATTTAGGTTGTGCACATCTTGCTATTTGTAAGTAGCCAACTTCCACAACACCATTGACCAACCAACTTAACTCTTCAAAAACAAAGTCAAAACATGCCATAGATTGAAAGAATCATCCTGCTTGGTACCCACTGGATGGTCAAATTATCTCATGATTTAGCAAAGAAGGTATACGAAAGTGATCTTTTAGGAGAACCAGTAGCATAGATGGGCTAAAAAAGCAGCAGCTACCAAATTAAAACAATAACTACGAGTAGCAATAAAAAATGACTATCAAATAACCCATCGACATTTACATGCAGGACCCGACATCTCGATTTGTGACCTCTTTAGGCTCATTTACACATATACACATTTTAAGAGATCTTCCAGTTTAGGTCAACCAAAAGTTTCAAACAGATGTAAATGTGGTTCAGCAATTTAAACCCTCCTTTTTGATCCTCCCAAATTGGTGTCCCTTTAAGCAATGTTTTAAAACATTCAGTTTAACATAACAGTTAAGGGGCCCCCAATTTTTGCTATTTCTATCACAATTCTCTTCTGTATTGTACTTCAAAAATGATAGAGTTAACATATGAACCTACATCTTTCCAACTAATAGAAAACAATTAAAATATTCAACTCTTCCCCTAAATCTAAAAGACACATCTGTCAAACTAGAATTATTACATTGGCATGTATCGAGCAGTGGCGGAGGAAGGATCTCCACGAAGGGGGTTCAAAATTTTTTTTTTGTATCTAGTGGGAATTGAACTCATGACCTTATGTAGATTTTGAACCCCCTTGACCACTAAATTACACTTTTGAATTGTGTTAAGGGGGTTCAAAACTTAATATATAGAGGTAAAAAACAGATTTTGCTTTATATATATAGTGTATTTTTTCGGCGAAGGGTGTTCGGGTGAACCCCCTTGCGCCCCCCTAAATCCGGCCCTGGTATCGAGTATTCAAATTGGTAAATTCTGATATTTTCAATGAGCACAGTTTTTTCCAAAGAAAAAATTCCTAGTAGCTTGAAATGGTAACAAAGTAGGGCAAATCCACATTATCTAAAGGGAAATAAAGAATACTCTGTTGGTCTAAAAAGAGCCAAGTCTATTTCCAGAAAGTGAGGACATTCTCTAATTGACTGAGACATTCTGAACTTATTTAATGTTTTGAAATTGCATATTGAGTAGCCATTAATAATTATTTATCAGTTCAATTATAGTTGTTCCCACATAAAAAAGCTCCCCATTAATCCTAATTATAAGCGTTCTCCATATATCAATAAAAGTTTTCAAAACTCATTTCCAAGCTCCAACCACATCTATGCTCGACCTCTAGTTTTCCTTATTTAGGCTACATTTGATACCCACTTGAAAAATTCAAAACCCTATTTTTCATCATCTTGGTTATTCTCAAATGGCACATTTTCAACTTTCAGCTACAACAATCATTTTATGTTGGTCCTCCCTCTCATCCTGTTGATCAAGACTCAGGCACCATGTCCACTAAAGCCCCACATGTTAATGATAAAAGTATCCAAACATACCCATAAGAATTGGACATAACCCAATTGCCAAAACAAGCCATAAAGGCATAAACAACATAGAATGACGGCACCATCAAAATATTACATAATTGTAACCCTACCATCCCAACAACTTTTGAGAAAGGGTGTCCATATCCAATTATAATGTCAACTCTATGATTAAACTGCAATCCCAGCAAACACGTTACCCCCTCACCTCCTAGTCCATCATCAGCCTTTCTCCACATCACATCCAAAATTGATTTCCCCACACGCTCTACAGCCTCAACTATAATTATAAAGAATAAATACATATAAAATAAAGATAAAGGAACCAACATCAATAACAAAACCCAAGGATTTGGCATCTTACAAATTTTTCTTCCATACAATGCTGTAACTCAGATAGTCCATAAGTAACCTACTCGCTCTGTTCTCTCTTATGTGGCACTATTTTTTTATTTCATTCCAAAACGAATGACAACTTCATAATTTAAAAACAATTTAACTTTAAACTATGCTTTATAGCCACATAAATCTCATGGCATACAAGTTTCAAAAGTTTTCTATGTCTTTCTTAAACTTCGTGCCGTACAAAGCACCACCACCTAAATTGAACTAAGTTAGTAACTTTTTTCATTTGTGAGATTTGAACTCTGATAGTGATACATCAAGGCCTTGGGGTTCTACTTCCGTGAATTAACGATTGGACCTTAATAT